TTACTGTGTAATACCTATTTAAATTAACATAAAATTAGACCAGCTTTTACCTTTTTTATATTTGTCAATTTCACTTTTATGTCTACATTTTATTTTTCTAAAATCTTTCTGATGAAGCTAAAGTTTAGCGAAACATGTTAAAAGTTTAACAAAAAATTGTGGAAATATATAAGTATTAAAATTTACTTAAAAAATCTTTTATTAAAAAAGAGTAACCTACCGGGGTAACTTTGTGACATGTAATTCTTATGGGAGAAACTTATGTTCAACCTAAAACAATGCTAAAAGGATCGACATGTCTCCTAATGTGGACGACTTCCTATGGGTGGAGTTCACATCCCAATTTCTGGAAGAATATGAGGGTGATAAATACTATATCGTATGATATACAATAAAAGTTTAAAATGTCTAAATCAGTATAAACCCATGTTTTTAATATCAGAAAATTATCGAGCATATATTTCTTGACATTTCCTATCGTTTCAGACCAAAAATGACGGGGTTACATTATGTTTCCATTGAAAAAACGCACTATCACAAAGGCATCACGGGGTAAAATTGTGACACTTTCAAATTTAAAAAAAGCTGAATTATTATTATTTTTTCAATTTCCTAGAACTGCCATTTTGTATCGGAAGAACGGATATACATAGTGTATTTTTTTTAGAATCTTATATGACAAAGAAATGTTTGAGAATTTCAAAAAACCCCCAAATCTGTCACAAGGTATCCCCCCGTTTTACGGTATATCAGAACAAATGTTCTTGAAAAGACGCCACTACATCCTAGGCAACATGCTTACAGAGCGGGCAGATCAACAGAAACCGCTCTATTTGAACTCACTGACAGCATCCAAAACACACTGCTGAATAAAGAAGTAGCCATCTGCGCCTTCTTAGACATAGAGGGAGCCTTCGATAACACCTCTCATGAGTCAATAAAGAATGCGCTTGTCAGAAAAGGAGTGGACAAAACCACATCCACCTGGATGTGTGAAACGTTAGCCACCAGAACTGCAGAAACGGATGTGGGGGAACAAACCATACAAGTCACCACAACGAGAGGATGTCCACAGGGAGGGGTACTCTCACCCTTGATGTGGAGTCTAGTAGTCGATGATCTACTAAATACACTGACAGACCAGGGCTTCAACTGCCTTGGTTACGCCGATGATATTGTCATCATAGCCAGAGGCAAGCACGAAGGAATACTCTGTGACCTTATAGAAAAAGCACTCCGAACCACGAAGGAATGGTGTCAGACTGTGGGATTGAATCAAAAAGAACGAAACTCCCATACCTGAGGAACATTCGCCTCGATGGAAGCAGGCTTCACTGGAAACAAGAAGTTAAATCCCTAGGAGTAACCCTAGACTCCAAACTCCTTTGGAACCGACACATAGAGAACATAACAAACAAAGCAATTTCGGCACTCATGTTATGTAAAAACATTGCGGGCAAAACGTGGGATTGTAACCCATCGATCCTACAATGGATGTATACCATGATAGTGAGACCTATCATCACCTACGGAGCGGTAGCCTGGTACAGCCGAACTCAGCTAGTAACGGCTAGGAAAACCCTAGGAAAGGTACAAAGACTCGCATGTCTATGCATAACAGGAGCAATGAGAACATGCCCAACAGCGGCAATGGAAGGAAGTCATCCTAGGCCTAACACCACTTCACACAAAAGTGAAGCGGGTTGCCATATTTAAGACTGGCGAAGATAAGTCTACAAGGGAAAACGCACTTTAGCAGAGCTTTCCCTCTCCCAAACTGTGCACACCTCATGGACTTACCTAAAGACGCGATTGTTGATAAATTCAGTTTCGAGAAAAACTTTTCCATCGAACTAAGCACCATCAAATAGTTCACAGACGGCTCCAAAACTGCTGAAGGGACAGGAGCCGGAGTATTCGGGGCACGAACCAGATACTCGGAGCCAAGAGGCAAATCACCAAGCATATTACAAGCCGAACTTCATGCGATCGGAAAATGCGTGCAGTTCAACCTGAACAGAAGGTACCGAAAACGAGAAATTGTAATAATGTCTGACAGCCAAGCAGCTATCAAAGCATTGAGCTCGCCGGTAATCAATTCTAAGATAGAATGTCTACAGAAACTCAATGAGCTGGGGAAGGAAAACAAAGTAACCCTACTATGGGTTCCTGGACACATAGGAGTCGAGGGCAATGAACGCGCAGACAAACTTGCAAAAACGGGAGCGATCACTCCCTTCACTGGGCCAGAACCATTCTGCGGCGTCGGAAATGCGCACCTCCAAGAAATCCTCAAAAAAGAAGAGAACCGGCTAAGGAACAAACAATGGTTAGACCAACCAGGACTACGACAGGCCAAAGATCTATTGGGTAGTTACAACCAAAAAAGATCGGAACTGCTGGTCAACCTTAGTTAGAAAAGTCTCAAAACTCTAACCGGGTTTCTCTCGGGACATTGCAGACTGAATAAGCACCTACATAATCTGGGGTTGGAAGAAGGTAACACTTGCAGATTCTGTGGAGACGGTGAAGAAACACCTCATCATCTTCTACTGAACTGCGATGCCGTAAGCCGCTCAAGAATGAAGAACTTGGGAAGTCCTTTTATACAGCTGGAAGACATTCCAGCCCTGGAACCGCTAGACATCCTAAAATTCCTAAAGGACCTAGGACTAGAGGGGCTGCTTTAAACAGGAAACCCGAACTTAGCAGCAGAAGGAGGAGTACAATAGATCAACCTTGGTCGCAGTGCAACTGATAACTGATACCTCCAACACATACATACATACTTACATATAAATACAACGTTGTCCATGTAATAACTAATGTGTAGCAGTAACGGTGGAACTCTGCCATTGCCCTCCATCATAGAATTCGATGCAAATTGTTCGGCAAGAGATCTGCTTTTTCCTTTAACGATACAACTTTGGAGTAATTGTCCTCAACTGAAGGTGGAAAGGAAGATGTGAAATTTTTTCGTTTGGTCTTGACAAAAGACCAAAAGGACCTTGATCCACTCGGGCAGTTCAAAACTCGATTACGCAATTTTTCGTAATGTAACTTCTCAGCCTTGTTCTTTATAGGGTTTTTATGTAATCCAAGTCAGTGAGGATGAAAAATGAAAAAGAAGGAGAAGAAAATGATGGAGTGTTGAAACTCGAAAGACACGCTCCAGGTCCAGACAATTCGAATCAAATTAACAGGACCAGAATGGAAGAGAGGGGCGGTGTTGCCTTGGTCGAAGAAAAGCTTTTCTCTCACTCCAAGTAAAAAAAGATTATAAAAGCAGATGGCCAGTGAACAAATAGAAAAGGAAAAAGAAGACGAGTGAGTCATGATGTGGTTACTTTATTGTATTTGAACGAAGTGTTCTAATATTGCTAGTTTTGTCTTAATCTCTGTGTTATTGTTTTGAATCAAAGTATCTAAATTAATTTCTCTACATTAATCTCACTGATCTACGAACGCGCATACGTAACAATACTCGCAAGTTTATATCTGAAAACGTTATCTGATTCATCATCAAAGTAGTCGCGAAGTATCAACTGAAACAATAAAATAGGTACAAAGTCAATTATCCTTCTATTATAATCTTTAAATTGAAACAAACACCAGGAAAAAGCGTGGTGCTACATGTATAATAGGTATAGGGAAATTATAGTTATATATGTATCAAGGGAATTATGAGGGTGTTAATACCCCAGTGCAAAATTTGCAAAGCACCAATTTCTCGTGGATATTAACACCTGATAATTCCCGTGGTACATAGATAATTTTATTTCCTACTGAATTTACTGCATTTTGTCCATTTTTATAAAGGAGTAAACCATGAACCAAAATTTCTATTTTTTGTCAAAAGTTCACCTATTCAAGGTAAAAGCGGGAGTTATGGAAACCCTTAACTCCCTTGAGAGTTATGATATCCTTAACTCTCGCGCGGGAGTTAAGACCCTTATCGTTACCAAGGTATTATTATATGGTTATAATAGTTCAGTAGGAAATAAATTTAATGGTTGCATGTCATCAAAATTTATGACGTTAGCATGTCGCAATGTTGCCGCATCAACTTCGTTTTACTTTGACATACCATGTCTAGTAAAGTTTCTCATTTTCCCAGGTTACATTTTTGTTAATAAATTGATAAGAATCACTCATACCAAAAATACGAAATTCCATTAATACAATTTTATAGCAAGTATACTTAAATTTTATCCCAACTATCATTCCTTGACTCGTTAAAAGCTGACAACAAACCTCAAATTATCAACCTTTAATTTCCTATGACAAAAAAAAATTACGTGGATTCCCACTAGGGGTACATTCGTATCCCATGATAAAAATGATACTTCTTAGGAAATGGTATTTTCGATCATTGAGTGGTATTAGATTAGATTTCCGCCTTCTACTTCCCATAAACTTTCGTTTTCTTCCTTATCCACAGATATTTCTTGCCCAGCCCCGTGATTTCTAAATTTTGCAGGTTGGAAATCTTTTTTATCGCATTTTTAACAGTAATGTGATACTTGAGTGGTAAAGTACCATTAAATGTGCATAGCAACACTTTACCAGGCAGCAACCATTACGTCCATTAGCAGTGCTTTTCGATATTTTGACTAATAATTTTCAACGATTTCTAGGTTGCCGATAGAAGAAACTATATAACCTTGCATTGGCGTTAGTCTATTAACATGCTTCATAGAAAGCTTTCTTGATCGACGTTTGTTTTGATTTCTTATTGTTTTATCAAGTGTATGGATATCTGCTAACTTTTTTCTGCATCGATTCACAGGCAGTGTCTCTCTGTTATACTTCCAATTTCAGGTAATAGAAACTAGGGCAAATCTATTCAAAATTGCATCACAACACATTCATTAAGTACCTATTTTGTGTAGAAGTTTTATTATGGAGTTCATAAATTCAAGTTTATGAACGAAAAAGTATCTATGAAAAACACAAGTGCGCCAACTTTTAATAATCTATCCAATGACTCATGGCCAGATTACATAATACATGTGGTTGTGCCCTATAAAACAATGAAGAGAAGCTGAATTCTTATTTATATAAAGCAAAAGGAACGCCCTATCTGGGCGTGATAAAATTAGAATTTTGAAGAAAAAAATCAAAAACTATTTCATCTTACTTGACAGTGTGGCGGTAGTATAAACGAATATAACATAAATCTAATAATAAAATAAAATCAGTAGATACGAGTTAGATTAGTGATGGTTTCTTAATTTCCGGTAAAACCTGTCGGTTTTTTATTCCTTTTCTGGATTAAACTTAACATTTTTCGGTTATAACATGCTCTACATGTCAAAAATCAAGTTTATGCCGTAAAAATAACCGAGACAAACGTTTAAGAAACTTGCAACAAGTATGATTAAAAAAAGAAAAAAACAACTCTCAGATTTCCATTCTGATGAATTAAAACTTCTTGAAATATCAATAATACCTACTAAGTAGGTAAAAAATTGTTAATTCGTCCTGAACCCAGCTGAACTTCGGAGTGATGATAGGAAGTGGTATCAGGCTGACAATATCAAGTTCTTAAAATATTAATTATCATATAAAAGAATAGGCCAATAACAAGCACAGTTTAATTCTTAGGCTTATACAAGCTTAATTATTCACGTAACACAACACTAAATAAGCAGTTTCAGCGATAAGGACGGCTCTAGAATAAATACCTGCCATCCCCGTAAGATTTAAAAGACACAGCAAAAGTTCAGTTATTTTTAATTATTATCAAACAATGGTCAGGTTTTGCTTGATCATATTAGCTGTGACTCTTTGTAGGTAAGTTCAATATTCATATTCATACATAATTTTGATTTAATAAATTACAAATTCTTAAGAGCTTCAGCTCAAAAATTGTTTCCGGACAATTTCAAATTTGGAGCAGCTACTGCCGCTTATCAAATTGAAGGAGCCTGGGATGAAGATGGAAAAGGAATAAATATTTGGGATACCTTCACACATACAGCAGGCAAAATTAGAGACAATTCCACTGGAGACGTCGCTTCTGACTCTTATCACAAATACAAAGAAGATGTTGCTATTCTCAAGGACTTGGGTGTCAAGTTATACAGATTCTCCATTTCGTGGTCGAGAATTATGCCTGATGGTCGTCCATACAGCATCAATCAAGCTGGTATCGATTACTATGTCAATTTGGTTAAGGTGAGAGCTTTAAATGTTCATAAAAACCTTTATTTTGCGAATTTTATTGTTAGGAACTGATCGAAAACGATATCGAACCATTTGTCACTTTGTACCATTGGGACTTGCCCCAATATCTTGAAGACCTTGGTGGTTGGTTGAACCCCAGAATTGCTGATTATTTTGGAGATTACGCTAGGGTCGTTTACACAGCTCTGGGACCTTATGTCAATTATTGGGTTACCATCAATGAACCAAGTACTACTTGCGTCCTTGGTTATGGCCAGGTAAATACTTTCGATTTGTGATTGATGAATAGGATATACTTGCCACTTTGAATCTATATTTCACTTTTTGCATTTAAATGAAAAAATACGTTTCACCTTCCAGATTTGTTAACTATTACAATAGTATTTCTAAACTCATCTCTAAAAAAGTTACTACTACCTATTGAAAATAATAAGAATATTCATCATTCATTTTTACCAAGTAATGCTCTTCTTACAGGGTATCCTAGCCCCAGGCAAAACTCTTATCGGCGACGGAGTCTACCTTTGTGCCCGAAACAGTTTGAAAGCTCACGCTAAGGCCTACAGAATCTACGAAACCGAATTTAAACCTCTATATAATGGAAAAGTGACCATTAATATACCGAGTGCCAATTACTATCCTAAGACCAACAGCACGTTGGATGCTGAAGCTGTCGAAAGGGTTTTTGAATTTGTTGTAAGATATCTACCATTTTTCTCAAAAAAAAAAAATATATATATATATATATATTTTTTTTCTTACAGGTTGGACTGTTTGCTAATGCCGTCTTCAAACGCAATTGGCCCCAAGTAGTCATCGATAGAGTAGCTAACAGAAGTAGATTAGAAGGTTATTCTTTCTCTAGATTGCCAGAATTCTCTGAAGCAGAAATTGATTATATTTCTGGGACCTATGATTATTTTTCTGTAAATTTGTAAGAGATTATCAAGATATTTTAATAGTAACATTTATTCACAAATTTGTTTTTCCAGATACACAAGCGTTATTGTGGAGTATAAGGACGAAACGGCAATTTCGACTCCATCATACTTGTTAGATATGGGTGAGAAATCCCTCAAAATAAAGACATTTTTTGTAGCAATCCATTTTTCAGGTATACCCGTTTCAATAAATTCCTCATGGATCAAAAGTACCGCTTCCTGGCTGAACTCTGACCCACCAGGAACAAGAAACATTCTCAACTTAATTCAGAAAAAATATAATCCCTCCGAAATCGTTATCAGTGAAAATGGTTGGGCTGACACTGGGGATTTGGATGATCAGAAAAGAATTACTTATTTGAAGGTTTGAACAGTTAATTCTTATTTCACGATGTAAATGTTTGATTTTTTCAGGAATATTTAACTAATATTTTGAGCGCGATCCTTGAAGATGGTGTTAACGTCACTGGATACACATTATGGAGTCTTTTGGATAATTTTGAATGGGCTGATGGATACTCGTAAGAGCTTTTGCTTAAAAAAGGAGCAGTTGAAATAATAAATTTTATTTTCAGTCAACGTTTTGGAATAGTCAACGTTGACTTTGATAGTCCGTTAAGAAACAGGACATACAAGAGCTCAGCCGATTGGTACAAGAGGATCATAGAAGCCAGGGCAATTGTAGACTAATTATTGTTTTATATATTATGAATAAAGTACTTACAAAGTGCTAAAAGAAAAGCGCATAATATATACCAGTGAATTTTTAAGTACCCTCATACGAAAATAAGTCCAAAAAACTTCTGTGATCGATGATAAATGCTCTATCACTCGAGCCTCGAACATTGATTTTCAAGACTTGTAGAAAAACATGTGTGCTGGTTTGATTTGCTGGTGTTTGGTCCTTGTGCATGTTTTTTCCACACGTTTGTGTTCGTATAGTATCTACAGAGGATAACCGCTTAATAGAGCAAAAATATGGCTATTAGGTATACAAGCATAAAATTTGGTACCCACATTCTTAAGGCGATTTAAAAAAATTATAGGCGAGTCCCTGAAAAATTCCTCTTATAGCTCCGTTTTATTTTGAGGTTAGGAGTTCTTATTTTTTTTCATCAGACAAAGACAAGTGAATTTAGAAACACAATAAAATGAAATAGAATGATATATCTCTTTGATAGAAGGGTTGTCGCTATCATTCTCTTCTATTGGTCTTTTCGGCCCTATTCATCTGGTCAACGAATCAACCGATCGTTGTTACAGATTACGGAATAGCGAAGCGATAGGTATCTCTATCGCTATTTTGCTTACAAAGTTCCACTTCTGGTCACATATGCTGCATTGGTGTGGTGGCCAAAAGTGAAGCAGCAGTGAGCAGACAGGGCAAAACCGATTGGCAGTAATACAAAGATATGTATGTCTTGGAATAACAGGTGCCATGAACCGCTGCTATAGAGGTCATGTTAGATATCATCCCTCTGCACATTGCAGTGAGGAGGAAGGCCTACATGGGAGCCTGAAGGGTTATACGGTCTGTAAACCTAAAATAAGGGGACCTTATTGGACACATGAGCATCATTAAAGAATGCCATGGTAGACCAACAAAACCATTGACATCATGCCACCCAGATACGAATTTAATCACCTTTTTAGTGTGACCGCAGAAGGCCGCAAAAGTGGCAAGATCGTACATAAATTCCCAAACGGTTCATCCATCTGGTACACAGATGGATCGAAAACAGAAGGAGGGGTCGGAGTGGGCGTATATGACCCAAACTGCAGGCTATCGGTAGCCTGTGGTAAAAACCCCCCACTTTCCAAGCAGAAACGTATGCAATAGAATTCTGCGCCAGAAACTTGAAATGAATCCACGAGGTGCAAGAATCTTCATCAATAGGAATGTCCACAAAATAAAAAAATTCCGTTTAACCATCATCAAATTATTAAACATCGTTTCATAAGTAAATCTACAAAATTTTACGAAAATCAGAAAATTCTTTCCATGAGAAAAACGGAGATGAAATATTGATATTCGTTTAAACGCACGAAACGCTGTCTGACGTCACAATGCGTAATGAGTTAGCACGCGCAAGTAGGTACAGTGGCGTTACTAGCTACTTGGATCAGCCGCTTGTGACGTTGCTTTTGCGATTTTTGTTGGCAATAAAGAATATTGATATTAATATTATTATTATTATTATTATTATTATGGTTCGGTTTTAATTTAACGAGAGAGTCTGTTTAACGTTTAACAAATAACAAGTATTTTGATATTGCTGCTATCTCCTTCATGTTGATCTCTGTGTTATAGGGTTTATGGAAATTAAGGTAGAAAAGGTACTATGGCTAAAATGAAGGAAGGTTTTCGAAAGACCGATTCACATAATCTGCCAACTGTGGACGTTATCTACTATTTTTTTGTTTATTTCGTTATCTACTATGGTATCAGAATGTTTGGTCAAGTGTCGACTTGAATCAGCTCCAGTCCATTGGTGTAGAAGTAAAACAGACGTAGTTAGATGTAGGTATAGTTGCATTTGAACAATGATATATAGGTAGTTATTTACCTTTAACAAGGGCGGAAAGTTATACTTTCCCGCACACAACGGCATTTGCACGAACGACGAGCCAGCGGAATTCGTGAAAGCCGCAAGTGCGGAAAACATACTTTATGCTCATGCCAGACCCATTTTTTCTATGAGCGTGTGAAAAACGCGTTTTCACGCAACGATTTGCGTGCGGAAAGTAGCACATTTTCGCACCTCGTAGAAAAACACGCACGTATTGTTTGCCCAGCGGATCTGAGTCTACGGCAGGAATTCGGATGTAAATGCGCCATATTGCCACGTTTAATTATAAAAAAGTGAAAATTCTAGACATGAAGTCCCCAGTACATCGACCCTAAAATTTTGTAACTCATGTACACGTCAAACTTCCTGAGCGGCTTCATAACACCAAGTCGGACAATATTTTTCATATCTCCACCCTGGGCGATGGGACATTGCCGCGCTAGCTCTTCGTGAAGTTGTCGTTCTGACGTCCCTAAGGAAGTTGATACATGTACGTGTAGTTTCAATGCCAATCGACTGTTTTTTACATTACATTAACGATATCACATTTGTCGGACAAAAACCATGGTGCTTTGGGGAAGGTCCGACGCCCTCAACATGTCGTTGTGGCGTCCCTGAGGAAGTTAATACATGTACGTGTGGTTTTGATGCCAATCGACTGTTTTTTATATAACATAAATGATATCATATATGTCGGACAAAAATCACGTGGCTTCGGGGTGGTCCGACGCCCTCAACATGTCGCTGTGGCGTCCCTAAGGAAGTTGATACATGTATGTCCGACAAAAATAATTATGAATAACTATGTAATTTTAGAACATGTGTAGTAAATGTCGGACAAAAAAAATGAGTATTAACGTCAGTCGGACAACAAAAGTACAAAAAAAATTGTAACCACATAGCATACTCCATGTACTTACCTATGATAATTAGGCAATTCAATCCATCTGTCAAAACGAAAAATTCAATATGGCGTGGCGGCCAGCAAGTTTGTTTTGAATATGTATTTTCATGTATATTTTAATTATTTTGCTTCGAGCTTTGCTTGCAGCTTTGATTTTTATTATTTGGTCGCCATAAACACACGTTCACGTTATTTCGCGCGGTTTATCGTGGCGTGTTGGGATGTAGCGGTTTGCATGCGCGAAAGAACGGCGTGGCAAAAAAAGTGTCATGTTCCATACACTTGACAAAGTATTCAAATGATTTTGCACGTGATTACGCGGGGCATATCATTTTCAAAGGAAAAATCGTATGTGTGTGGGCAAAAAGTGTCATTTATCGTGTCGTTTGAAAGGGCATGTGGTCATATACGAATTTTTAACGTGATAGTTCGTTACGCGGCGTTCATGTTTTCGTACTAGCCTCAAAATCCGTGACGTGGAATGGCGTGTGAACTGCACTTATCATGTACTTGAGTACTGACGCCACATTCCAGATGAAAGCACGTGTGAAATCCCTTCCCATTCTATCATTGCGCGTAGTCCTCGTCACTCACGCACATGATTTTCCACAGGTTTTTGCAGATAACACGATAAACCGCGCGAAAGAACGTGTTTCTATGCCGGCCTATTCAATAAAATATTCGTTTACTAGGTACGTAAACTATTAAGTCGGGTAGAAACTAGACATTTTTTTGTGTTTTTTGGTCCATGTGTGGCCGCCACGCCATCTTGAATGTCACGTGGTTTGAATTGCCTAATGTAACCCATACTTTGATTGTTATTATTATATTTTCTATTATCAATATTATTATTATTATTGTTATTATTGTGAACAATTAGGCACTAGCAAACTTAATTCGGAGAAATTCTATTCAAGTAGGGTGCCAGGTTTTTCCAGAATCCGTGACAATTTGTTTGTTGATGCGCTGATCACTAATCTCAACATAGAAAAGCTAGCTTAAATTTGCGGCATTTAAAATTTATAAACAATTTATTTAAATTTGGAATTTGCAGCTGAAATATAGATTTTTTAGAAAAAACACATACTTTTTTCTAAGTAGGTACATCTTTTCAAATGCTGATGTAACAAACTTTTTCCCATAATATAACAAAGTTTTTTCACATATTTTTTTTTTTAATTAAATTAAATTAAATCACATCAAAATATACCAAACTAATATTGATCAATTTATTAAAAAACTATTCAGTATCTGACTCATCGCTCGTCTCGTCATTATCATCATTTTCGTCATTTTCACTGAAACAGCAATCACTTTCATCATCGTCTTCCTGGTCGCTCATATTAGTGGACCCATTCTCATCATGTTCTGCGACGAATATAAAATCGTTATGAAACATGCTAAATAGCGAATTATAATGAAATATATAATAACAATACCTGTAGTGTACAATGATACATCATTGAACGATGGACTTGCAGGCCCATCGAACCAATAATATTCATACTTTTGATCGATCAATGTCCATCCACATTCTTCTGGAATCTTCTCCGTAGGAACTCGCATATGTGCATTACACCATATGCTACTAATGTACATTGTTCTTTTTATTTATTGAAGTAATTCTTGCTTACTGGGGGGCAAACACGAAGCATCGCAAGATCTGATTTTTTTTTTCAAAATCTCTTCTTTATCGCTGCTACATTTGTAGGTTTTTGCAAATAATTCGTAGCGACCTTTATCGACGTCATTTTTTATTTTTAATGAATACATTCTGCATACGTACTCTTCAATCATTTTATAAAGTGTACTCGAGGTGGTAATTTGAGACGGTACAGACTGTATGAGGCTGACAAAGGATTCTTGAAATTTTACATCTTTTTTCAAAATTGCAAAGGGTTTTTTTTTTCCTTTTCGATAAAAAGCAGGATTAAAATCGTTGCCTGTGAAAATGTGACAAACTGCTAGTGAACGTGAGAGCATATCCCCAAGATTTTCATGTACAGTGTTGATATTTATAAATGATTTTTTCTTACTTGTACTGAGATTGATTATTATTTCTGTATTTCCTCTGCGGAACTTAAAATTCGTCAACATTATAACGGGGATATCAGAATCAGTACAATGCACTTGCACGCGATAATTTTTGTGCATCTGACATACGTGAAAAACTATTTTTGTGTCGGCTTCCTCATGAAAACAGGTGAAATCATAATCAATCTCTCGCAGCATTTTGTTATTGGACACCTTATAACTGTAACATCTGTCGTAGTTCAA